ACCTCCTCCACCTCCCCTTCTCCTTTTCTATTCTAAAAACACTCCCAATAGAGCTTCCTTACTGTGCTGAGGACTTTGGATTTATAAGGGCCAAAGACAAGCCCCACATCAAGGTGCCTTTTAAAATCAAGCAACCTGACCAAAGTGGACAACTTCCATAAGTAATTTTTACATTGTAGAGCAAGGCAGAGCTAAGAGCCATGGTTAAGGATTTTCCCAAGCCCAGGGAAGATCCAGGTAAATTTACTGAGTAACTCTGAATTCTCACCTCTACCTACCAGCCAGGAATCCCGCTGGTATTTATTCTCATGTTGTTGGGGGCCAGGGGAGGTCCAACTGTGTATGACTGAGGCCGGACGTTATGAGGGGCAGACTCTGCTGATTCCTTTCTCACTAAAAACCACTAGAGATCTGTTGCTGGAAGTTAGGCAAATTTATTGTCTGTCAATTAAAGCAATCCCAAGAGTACTTCCAAAAAACAAACAAACAAAAAGATTGGACCACAATTCAAGCTTGTAAACAAGAGAAGAGTGAAAGTGTACACAATTTTAGAGATAGATTAGAACAATTGTTCCTTAAACACTCAGGATTAAAATTAGATAATGATGATTCTGAGATTGCCTTCAATTCTATTTTTCTCAATGGTCTGAACCCAGAGTTTCAAAATTGGTCAAATGCCACTGCTTAGACTGGGAAACAGCTCCCTTTAGAAACCTTTTGGACACTGTTTACAAATTGGCTCAAACCACTGAGCAGTGAAATCAGGCCTGTGAACAAGGAACTAAAACCAGGCAAGATAAACAGATAGCCTTGCAGCTTCAGCAGTTGCAAACTCCCGGAGTGGAGGCATCGAGTACTGGAGCCCACTGGGGAGGAAACCAGTCAGGAACCCCAGTGTGTTTCTACTGTAAGCAACCAGGACATTTTAAATGGGAGTATCTAAATTACAGAATAACCTGGGCATGCTGCCTCCTGTTTCATCTCTAGCAGGATCAGCTTGACGGGGCTCTGGGGATCAAAGGGGTTTTTCCAGTAGTGGCTTTAAATAATCAGGGAGAAACTACTATCTGAGTAAATGGGGAAAATTGTAAGTTTTTAATCAACACAG